AAAACCGAAAAATATTCCACCGATCCGGCTCGAAGGACCAAAATGTATGATGAGATGCCTGGATCGGGGAATTAATTGTGCGGATGGATGAGTTGGAGTCGGATTACGGGGAGTGGGATGAGTAGAACCAAGAAATGAGCGGAACACGTGCACGTGGTCACAAATTCACTGTATTTGTCAAAGTTATATTCACAATAATTAAATGTCACTAATTGAGTCACTGATAACTGGAATTAATGAGCGGACCGAATTCTATGAAAAAATAATAACTGAGCTGACACAATGAGTTAATCCGAGTCACTCGAGAAGAGCAGTACAATAAAAGAAGTGTCTCGAACTAGATCCCGGAAACGAATGAGAGCGAGACACGGGCTTACAGGTGCCACGTGCCCTAATTCGATGGTCACATGACCTAATTTAATATAGATCATATGGTAATAAGGAGCTGTCCAGGACGTGGCGCCTCAGGTGTCCGAATTAACAACCCCCGGTCATCTGAGGTGAGCGCGTCAGGTGTGCGTGAGTGGGGAGAGAATGGATGAGCCTTGCGTGCGTTAGTGTGAGGGACCTGTCAGCTGACAGGATTTCCAACAGTTATTTATTTTTGGAAGAGGACGGAGGTCTGATCAACCAACCATCGTCTTATCGCGCAGCGACGAAGAAAAAGTAATATTCACAAATCTTTCCACCCGGGGGAAGACTGGCCGTTTCAACGCTTTCATCGAATTTCATTGGGAAATTGAGATGGCGACTTCAGGAAGGGATAATGGAAATCAGGAGGATTCTGAGTTCAACTCCTATACCATGTCAGCTCCTGGCGCAAGGAGGGCCTTGTTTGAGACCAGGGGTGAGGAGGGTAACGTTAATAATGTTAACTTACGTCGGGAATTTGTTCAGTCTGAACATTCTAGCATGCTAGCTGGGAATCATCGGATGAATGTACAAGCTGAGATTCACCAGCAGCAAAATGAGGTACCACTGGGGGGAGAAGCTGTAGCTGGACAAGGCACGCAGACTGCGCCTGGCCCTGTCAACCCTTCGGTGAGTCACCGTCATCCTGTGCATGTTGAGCCACAGGTAGGCTTGAATGATATTGAAGATTATTCAGGGAGTGAATCAGGGAACCATGATGACTATTCTGCACCATCGGGCGGCTTTGCCGGTGGGGGTGGATTCAAGGCAAGTTCAACGCATCATGGCGAAAATATTCTCCAGGGGTCGAGATTGCGGAATGGTCCAGCCTATGACCGCCTGGTAGGGAGAATTCAGAGTCTCGAGGAGGCAAGGCTCAGGCTCAGACTCCAGAGGGAAATGGACATCAGGGAGCAAAGGGTCGCCGAGGAGAGACAACGTCGGCCTGAGGCCGAAAAACAGAGAAATGAGTATAGAGTACTCGTAGAAGATGCTTATGAGGAGCAGATGAATCTTCGCAACCGAAAAATTCTAAGAGAATTAGAATTTAGAGAGAAAAAATTTCCGCTTCACCCAGCCGGGAATCGAACCCGGGTCTCCCAGATACGCGCCGGGCACTCTTACCGACTAAGCTACCGGGAACCACAGAACCCGGTTCGCATTCGGATCTTTTGGATTTAAAGGGCGCACTATATTTAATAAAAGTCTTTACTGGGGATGGCCCAGATAAATTGGATTGTTTCCTGGATTCCATAGCCAGCGCTAGGAGATTAATTCGTCCAGGGTTGGAAAATCAGCTTTTGGATGGAATTATGGGGAGTAAATTGGAGGGTGCGGCGCATAAACAATTGAAGCATCGCACAGTGAAAACATTCGAGCAATTGAAAAGTGAGTTGGAATCACTTTTTGGGAAGACTCGGAATGTCGTCGGACTACAAGCTGAGTTCAGCAAACTTCAACAGCGCGAGAATGAGGACGTTAGGAAATTCGTCCAACGCACGGAGGAGGTCATGATGGATTATTTAAATGATCTATTGGGTCTTCATCCGGAGCTCTCGCAGAGGGAAAAGGAAGCAGCTACAAAAGTCTTGGAAACCATGGCAAAATTGGTGTTTGAACAAGGTTTGCGGGGTCAACTACAAATTTTGGTGAGAGCAAATCATTATAAAACGCTCCATGACTCTTGCACTGGCGCAGTAGATCTGGAAAAAACAATTTCTGGAAATACTAAGGGCAAGATTGGAGGGAATTTTGGTCAAAATCGAAATTCTACTGGAGGCAATAAGATGTCCATGGGTCGTCAAATCGTCGGAAGCTGTTACTCTTGCGGTCAAACGGGTCATATGGCTAAAAATTGCAGAAATTCGCAGGGGGAGCAACGGAAATCATTGCCAGTCCCGACGAAACGACGGAGCATTAACGCATTTGGCTGTTTGCCACTATTGTAAATATGCAGGTCATGATTATGCTGACTGTCATAAATTGAAGAGGAAACTTGGGCTGCCGGAAACGTCAAAAGTGAGTTTTGGGGCAATGAAACAAGCTACTTCTGGTTTTAATAAATTTACGCCCGCAAATAAACAAAGTAATGCACAAAATAATAATGGTGCAAAGGATAAGAATAGTGCGGAGGGGGGAAATAAAACTCTTCCTCTACCAGTTGGCGCTATTCAAATTATGATGGTGCAGACTGGGGTAGCCGGAGAAGGTGTCACCGATAAACGGATGATAGCTCCAGTGCAACAGTCGGAGATTGAAACGCAAATATTATTGCATGCGGAAGAATTAAAACAACCGACGTTGTTTTTGGCAGATTCAGGGGCGAAGGCATCCCTGATTAAAATCAATAAATTGGCAGAGAAAGCGGAGATAACACCAGGGCAGCGGCTTTTGAGAGGAATTTCCAATCAAGATGTTGCCACATTGGGAGAAGCAATTCTTTATCTCGAAATAGGTGAAGAAATTTTGGGACACAGGTTCCAGGTGGTTCCAGAGAATTTTCCATGTGTTGGAGGAATTTTAGGGGAAGATTTTCTGGGTTCTTCAAGTTTGAAGGTGGAAACAGTTCACGGAGAATCTCTAAAAATTAATGGTCATCGATTTGATTTGTTCGATGACAAAGAGCCTTCAAAATTGGGGGCTAGAATGGAGACGTTGGTTCGAGTACCGACGTGCAGTAAAGGGACAGGGATTGTCTCCAAAATGGAATTAAAAAAGGGCATTTTTATCGGAGAATGCTTGACTGAGGCTATCGATGGTTACGTAACGGTGTGCGTAGTCAACACCAACGATACGGACGAGTTCGTCGACTTGCCATCGGTCAT